ATGCCCATGTAATTGTTTAAGGAATAAGGATTCTGAGTCACATCTCTTTATTGAAGAAAGCCAGCAGATCCTCTTGTCTACAGCTCTCTATTCACAGCTCTCCCAGCTCACCCCACGCTGGCAAATTGTGACACGAATTTTATGTTTTGCTGGACTCTTCACTGCTCACACCCTTATCTCTTCATTCTCCAACACAAGGCTGAGAGATTGAGAGGGTGGAGATGAAGAAAGAACAAGAAGTTCTTCTACCAGAACTTCTTCTACAGTTGTTCTTCTACCAGAAACACTGGTAGGGGACAGAAAATTCAAGCAAAAACACGCCAGCACCTCAGCTTCCAAGGCAGAGAAAATATTCCCAGCTTCACCCAGCACATAACCATGGCTGTGCTATGTCAACCAACTGTCTGGATAAAGCAGGAAAGGAGGAAAGGTCTGGTTGCTGAAAGCCAGGACAAAGCCAAGCACCACACACAGCTTGGCCAGTGCTCCAAAATCCAAGAGAATACAGGTGGGATGAGCCTGCAGAGCCTGGGCCACAGAGGGGGCACAAATGACCTGGCACATCCCAGAGCCAGTGACAGCCCGGGATCAGAGCAAGGCATCAACACACAGACATCAGCACTGCACCATGCTTGGGTTTGTGAATCAAGTCTTTTACATCTGTACTAACCCAGCAACATGCAGATAAATTGTCCTGCTTTTCTACACAACACGTAAAACCATTGTTAATCACTAAAACCAAGGATGAAGGACAGGCCTGAGGCCACACAAAGAATGAGACAGTGGGAAAGGGAATGCTCTCTTCCCTTAGTCCTGCCCAAAGCCTCTCTGCTGTTCACAAGGGGATGTGCTGTGCTGGGGTTTATTTATAAAACCTATAAGAATGTTGATCTAAGGCTATAACTCGCAGAAAAATAAGCAGAGGTCAGGCTTTCTAAATGCAGTCACAAACCCCAGGGAGAATCTTACCAGCAAGGACCCTGGGCTTTCAGAGGGAAGCAGAACTCAGGAGAGGCCCCAGCGCTTGTGAGCTGCCAAGAAAACCGTGCAAACCATGAGCCATCCCCTGGCTCAAGTGCAGCTTTCTGTTCCAGCCACAGGAGCGAGGCAGGGTCTGCAGGGAGCTTCAGGGTGCCTGAATGAGCCTGAGGGGGATTCCCAGCTCCTCTCTTTGCTGGCAGAGGTAGCCACCCTTCCCAGGCTCTTAGATTTTTTTTTTTGTCTTTTTAAATCACTGATGAGGAAAGATGCTCCTACAAGTGGTGATTCAGAGCAGGGCCTTTATCTAAATGCTCTGAATCATTCTTTGTGAGAGACCATCACCGCTGACAACCGAAGGAGCCTCTGGAGAGGGCAGACAGCAGTGGTGGTTAACTCTTGTGTGGCACTGGCATCAGAGCACCCCTGTAAGAGCCGTTTGCTCGGCTCATTATCCAAACCTGCTCCAACAAAAAGCCGAGGCCGGTGCAGCTGGAGGAGGAAGAACACGCAGCCTGCAACCCAAACGTTTAACCCGCAAATAACTCAGCCATGGCCATCCCCACGGTTCTGATCAGGAATGCCACGAGGTCCTCCTCACCCCAGGGAGAATTCCCCAGGCCCAGCGCGATGAGGGACGCTGCTGGGCGGGCAGGAGGAGCCCCGCAGGTGCGGACGGTGCTGACCATTCCCGTCTCCATTCCCGTCTCCATTCCCGTCTCCACTCCCACCCGCGGGCAGACTTTCAGAACCTCTCTTTGGCGCAGCTCCAGCGCACATTTACGGCTCCGTTTTGCAGAGGGGCCCCGGTATTTGGCGGGGAGCCCCTTTCGGCCCCAGGAACCATCCCCGGGATGCGGCACCCACGCCCCATCTAGCGGCAACCGCGCAGGGAAAAGCTGCGGAGCCCAGAGAGCGTCCGGCAAAGCGCTCGTCTAGCGGCAAGTTGCTGCAAATGGCAGCAAACAGCTGCAAAAAAGCGCTTTATTGTTGTGTTCCCCCCTGTCTGCGCTGGGCCCTGCAGCCCATCGCCGCCGCGCAAAGCACAGAGGGACGAAAATTCCTCACTGGGAGCCCACAGAAGCCAAAGCTGCCCGAGCGCCCGGCAGCCGGGCAGAGCCCCCGGGGAACACCCCGGGCTGCGAAATTCGCTTTACACACTTACAGTCCCTCATTTTTAAGGGAACAATCCCGGCAGGAGCTATCGTTAGTCAAGGGCACAAAAAAGCAGCTCTGCCCATGCCTTTGGTGGGACCTCACCCCAGGCAGCCCCCGCAGCTGAGGGCACCGGGCCCCAGCCTGAGGGAAGAAACTGAGCTGGGGACATTGGCCTGGGACTGAGGGGACAAACTGAGCTGGGGACACCGACCCGGGACTGAGGGGACAAACTGAGCTGGGGACACCGGCCTGGGACTGAGGGGACAAACTGAGCTGGGGACACCGACCCGGGACTGAGGGGAACAAACTGACCTTGGGACACCGGACTGGAACCGAGGGAAGAAACTGAGCTTGGGACACCGGCCTGGGACTGAGAGGACAAACTGAGCTGGAGACACTGGCCTGAGACTGAGGGGACAAACTAAGCTGGGGACACCGGCCTGGGACTGAGAGGACAAACTAAGCTGGGGAGACCGGCCTGGGACTGAGAGGACAAACTAAGCTGGGGAGACCGGCCTGGGACTGAGAGGACAAACTAAGCTGGGGAGACCGGCCTGGGACTGAGAGGACAAACTAAGCTGGGGAGACCGGCCTGGGACTGAGAGGACAAACTAAGCTGGGGAGACCGGCCTGGGACTGAGAGGACAAACTAAGCTGGGGAGACCGGCCTGGGACTGAGAGGACAAACTAAGCTGGGGAGACCGGCCTGGGACTGAGAGGACAAACTAAGCTGGGGAGACCGGCCTGGGACTGAGAGGACAAACTAAGCTGGGGAGACCGGCCTGGGACTGAGAGGACAAACTAAGCTGGGGAGACCGGCCTGGGACTGAGAGGACAAACTAAGCTGGGGAGACCGGCCTGGGACTGAGAGGACAAACTAAGCTGGGGAGACCGGCCTGGGACTGAGGGGACAAACTGAGCTGGGGACAGCGGACTGGAACTGAGGGGACAAACTGAGCTTGGGACACCGGCCTGGAACTGAGGGGACAAACTGAGCTGGGGACACCGGACTGGGACTGAGGGGACAAACTGAGCTGGGGACACCGACCCGGGACTGAGGGGACAAACTGAGCGCGGGACACCAACCTGGGACTGAGGGGAACAAACTGACCTTGGGACACCGGACTGGAACTGAGGGGAGCAAACTGAGCTCAGGACACCGGCCTGGGACTGAGGGGACAAACTGAGCTGGGGACACCGACCTGAGGCTGAGGGGACAAACTGAGCTCAGGACACCGGCCTGGGACTGAGGGGACAAACTGAGCTGGGGACACCGACCCGGGACTGAGAGAACAAACTGAGCTGGGGACACCGGCCTGGAACTGAGGGGACAAACTGAGCTGGGGACACCGGCCTGGGACTGAGGGGACAAACTGAACTCAGGACACTCACCTCACAGAGAAATGGCCACGGCACAGCTCAGCTCAGCTCAGTCCTTCCCGGCCAGGCAGACGATGTTGGGCTGCTCCAGAAAGACCCCCTGGTCAGGCACAGGAGTCTGAGGGAACCCTCCAGAGCTGCACGTGTGAGGGTGAGGAAGATGAGGAGGTGAGGGGCACTGCCCACAGCCCCCGCCCCTCAGCTCACCTGGGCGCAATCACTGCCGGCCCTTCAGAATTGGGCACAGCTGTTACTCATCTGCAGGAGAGGGTTTTCTTCTTTAAAAAAACAAAAAAATAAAAAAAAATCCAAACAAACAAAAAAAAAAAAAAAAAAACCCAAACCAAAAAAAAAAAAAAAAAAAAAACGCCCAAAAAACCCCAACGGAAAACAAAAATTAAAAAAAAAAAAAAAACCAAAAACCCCAAAAAATCAAAACGGAAAAAAAAAAAAAAACAAACCCAAAAACAACCCCAAAGCCGCCACCAAAACCCCCAGCGAAGCCCTTCCTGAGGAGGTTCCATGCACTGCACCTGGGCAGTGAAAGCCCAGCCGCATTTCCAGCACTGTTTTCATCCTGTTGGCGGAATTTAAATACGACGCTTAGAGTCAGTTTTTAAGTATAAAAGTTAAAAAATACCAACTATAAAACTGAATTTCAGTTGTATCATCTTTCAAGGAAACCATCAACATAATTTAAATGCTTGCAGAAGGCACAACTCTTAGGAAATACTCTTTATTAATATAACATACAACAAGTGCTGCTCCTCACATAACAGTATTTGAACTCTTCTCTCTCATAAACTTAAAACGTTGTTCTTATTGGAAACATATTTTGTCTCTGAACCCTTATTTTGGGAGAAGAGCATAAAATCTGCTCCCCCTGAAATCAAAAGGGAAGAGATCCTTACTCAGTAATTACAGCATTGTTTATAAGAAACACATTAACAACGAACGTATGCAAGCATACATAACCAGCAACAAGATAAAATAACCCGTATGAAAAATCCCATATAAATTCACTTTAAGTACAAACCCACAAGATTTCCAGTATTAATCCAAGTATCTTTGGTGTTTGTTGGTGTTTAAGGTATTTTCCACCCAAAACAGACCTATATTGCTTTTCCATAGCCCTCGAAAGAAAAGCTCCAAAATAAGGACTCTTGAAAAAATAAGTTCCCTGCATGAGGCAAGGACTGGCCTGCGCAGGACGCGCCGTGTGCCTGCAGAGCCGGAGGACGGCGGTACTGCTCGGTGCTGCAGCTCCTCCTCAGGCTGCCTGGCGGCTCGAACGTGACAATTTTCCCAGATCCGAACGGCGGGAGCAGTGCAGAAGCCCGGTGCGCTCCCCTCGGGGCGGGCAGGAGCGGGGCCGGGGCCGCATCTCTCAGCGCACGGCGCTGCCCGCAGCTCCCCGGGCGGGTTTCGGTGACTCTCAGGAGCCCGGCGGAGATGCGGCAGCGCCCCGAGCCCTGCCCGGGCTCTCATCGGAAGGCGGGGGGCAGCCTGGCCCCCCGGTCGCCGGTCACCGCCGTGTCCGGCTCGGCGGGGCGCAGCTCCCAGGCAGGCAGCGGCGGCCCCGGGGGCACGGCCGGGCTCCGGGCCGGCAGCTCCGGGGAGCGGCGGGGCAGCACCAGCGCTGCCCAGGGCCCCGGCGGCCAGCCGGAGGGCAGCGGGCAGGGCGGCGGGGGCCACAGAGCGGCGGGGCCCGGGCGGATCTCGGGGAGCTGCGGGGGCTCGGCGGGCATCCCGGAGGGCGGCGGGAGCCAGGGAGCGGCGGGGAGCGAGGCCATCCCGGGGAGCGAGGCCATCCCGGGGGGCGGCGGGAGCCAGGGAGCTGCGGGGAGCGAGGCCATCCCGGGGAGCGAGGCCATCCCGGGGGGCGAGGCCATCCCGGGGAGCGAGGCCATCCCGGGGAGCGAGGCCATCCCGGAGGGCGAGGCCATCCCGGGGAGCGAGGCCATCCCGGGGAGCGAGGCCATCCCGGGGTTCGGCGGGGCCCAGGGCGCGGCGGGGTCCGGCGGGATGCCGGAGGGCGGCGCGGGCGGTGCGGACGAGCGGCGGCGGCGGCGGAGGTAATTCCCCTCCGGGAACATGTCCTGGAAAGCGGGGTCCAGCGCCCACTCGCCGGGGCGGCCGCGGCGGCAGGGCAGCCGTCGGAAGCAGGGGTTGAGGCTGAGGTTGTGGCGGACGCTGTTCTGCCACTGGCGGCCGGGGCCGCCGTAGAAGGGGAAGCGCTCCGCGATGTAGGCGTAGATGCCGCTCAGGGGCAGCCGCTGCCCGGGGCTGGCCCGGATGGCCATGGTGATCAGCGCCACGAACGAGTAGGGAGGCCTCTGCGGCCACCCCGCCGTGCCCGGCCCGGTGCCCGGCTCGGTGATGCGCTCGGTGCCCGGCCCGGTGATGCATTCGGTGCCCCGCTCGGTGCCCGGCCCGGTGATGCATTCGGTGCCCGGCTCGGTGATGCGCTCGGTGCCCGGCTCGGTGCCCGGTGCCGCCCGCCGCTCCCCGGGCTCGCTCTCGGCCATGGCCCCGCTCTCCGCTCGCCCCAGCCCCGCGGGCCCCTCTAAACCCTCTCCCCGCCACCCTTCCGCCCCCGGCCCAGCCCAGTCTGGTCAGTTCGGGGTCGCCGCCGGGTCAGGACGGGCCCGCCGGGAGCTGCGGGCGCAGCTCGGGGCACAGCTCAGCCTGGGCACCGCCGGGGGTCGGTCCGGGCGAGCGAAGCCGGTGGAAGCCCCCTCGTTTCTCCCCCGCGGCGGATCCGCTGCACAGCCCCAGGCCAGGGGCGAGCTCAGCCCTGAGCCCGCACCATCGCCCCGGCCCCGGGGCCGCTCCCGGTCCTGCCGGCACCGTTGGGGGATGGAGGAGCTGCCCCCCCTCAGCAACGTGGATTCTACCAGTGTCGCACCTCTGCAAGCCATTAAATCCTTCAAATACACCTGTGTGTGCAGAATGAGGAGCGAGCTGTTGCCAGTCATTTAATTAAAATACATCCTCCTTTAAGAAATGTTGATTTGATCAGCTTATGCCACCTGTCCCCTAATTTACATTACAAAATGAAATAATAATTTAAAGACCATACAATAATACATAAACACTCTCAGTCATGATTTCACTTAGAAAAACCCCACTTAAATGCCCAATGAACACAGAAGTAGGGTGTGCATATAAATGGACCACTCACACTAAGGTGAAAACTTATCCGGTTTTATTTTTTAAAGAAAAATATTCCTCTTTAAACACAAGGCATGAACTAAAAACCTCCGAGGAACAGCTTCTCCTTCCTTGGAGCATGTTCAACTAAACTGTACAGTGACAGAGCTCCCCAAAGAAGACACACATAACATACACTCTTTCTTTCACAGGAAATAAGGTTTAGGACTTGAATTTGTCCTCCTCACCCTCTCTAGATACCCATTCAATCCAAAAATACTCTGTACCTTACTCCCACCCCAGAACACAGTGACGATAATTTCTGGATGCAACATATATCTAAAAAAAAAAGGGAAAAAAATATGGGCCAAATTGGCCCATCCTAGCCTTTTAACAAATGTCTGCCAGAGAGGTTAAGACCATTGTTATTTCCAGGAATGGTGCTTGGAAATAAAAAATATAGCAGCATCCAGAGGCAACAGAAGCCCTTCAGTCCAGCTGCCCTGTTACAAGGAACCCAGCCAGTTCAGCAGGGATTCACAGATGTTCCCAGCACCCAGGAAGAGGGAGTGGGAATCAAACATTCACAGGCCTCATCTGTTGCTTGAACAAACAGCCTAAAATTCAGTGAATCTGGCCTACATATGCCAGCAATGAGTTTTTCCCCCCCCTAGTGACCAATTTAATGTTTAAGATTTTATGTAAAAAGGTATGATAAACTTCAGAAACCAGCAACTCGTTCTAACCACTCCCTCTATCCCATCAAATAGATATGTGCATAATATTTGTGACATCTGCCAAACTCCCCAGACTGTGGAACTGGAACCAGACTCCAAAATACAAACTCTTTCTAATTCAGAACAGCAAAATCATCTAAAGTATCTGCAAGGTCTCAGAACGTGCCTAACAAGCCCATAGCCAAACAAAAAGTACCTGGACATTTTCAATGGAAAGTAGGAGATGGAAAAGGTCTGGAAATAAATCTCATTTATACTCGACCTGATCATTAATTGTTGGTATTATTAAGTCACGTTCAGATCTTTATCAGGCCATTTTGTAAAGATCTTTCCCACTCCATACACTCCAACAGTTTTTACAGTAGGAAAAGTATTAGAAAAATAAAATCTCCCCCCTGAACAACACTGTATGAAGATCAACATCATCAGTCACAGGTATTTTTACAGGGGACCAGATAAACTCCTGCTTCCTCCAAACCAGCTTTGTACAGAAAAGAGCAGCAGGATAGACACAGTATCTATGAGCTAGATTAAGGCCAACAATATAAAGACAAAGACGGGCTCAGATCTTCTGAAATGAAGAAACCTTGCAAATGTTTTTGCACATCTGCATGCACACACACACTCACACTCACACACGCTCGTGTGTTCCTCAAGCAAAGGCTTCACAACCGTGAGAGCACCACAGGAGAGAGTTCTAGCACCAGAATGAAAAACTTCCCTCTTCAGTATGAACCCCAAAGTCTCCCTATTGCTTTGGACAAGGTCACCAAACCCCTTCCCAAGAACAGTCTGAGTGAGCAGCCACAGAAGCGCAGTGACAGGTGACAGGGCTCCTGCTCCGGAACGCGGTGTGTGCAGATGCTGCAGCTCCTGGAGGGGAGGAGAAGGTTGGTATTGCAATCTGGTCGAGAGTGGTGGTGAAACTCAGCGCAGGCTGGGAGGTGAGAGTGGGAGGCTTGCATACACGAAGTCACAGTGCACATCTGCTGGGTGACAGGGACAAGCAAAGCCACGGCATCTTCTGGCAGCTTGTCTGTGTAGGAGGCCTCTAGGGAGGACAAGGGTCTGTGAATGGGATGTCACACGCTGCACCAGAACACCACGAAACCCAGAGAGCAGAGGCCCAAAGAGAAGCTTGGCAGCTGCTCTGCCATCATCCTGCCTGTACACGTGCTCGGGTGCAAAGTCTATAAAAGGGATAAAAATCTCTTTACAACAAGGTTATGGGTCCGGGTTGGCTACAAGGAACAATTCATGCAAGTTGCAATAGAATTCATCATCCATCTGCAGCACAGCTTTGTGCTGCAGGTCTCTCCTGGCTCTGGGCCTTTGTCCAGGAGGTGCAGCCTGCACAGCTCTCTGAGGAGGCCGAGTCCTGCAGAGTCAGGAGCGACCTTTCCTGCGCAGCCTGGCCTCCCCTGCGAGGCACAGCAGGGACCAGTCTCACCCACAGGGAGGGCAGGAGCAGCAGCTGGAAGTGGGCAGCTCAAACCATGCAGGGAGACTGGGAAAACACAGAGCCACTCAGCTTTTCAGTGCTTGAATCAGCAGCAGCAAAGCCCCACTACGCTGTCACATGCACGCTGATCAGTCTGGCTAGGGCTCCCATGGTCTACCAAGAGAGGCTGGGGAGGAACTCAACTAAAACATGCAACAAAAAATAAAACAAAGTGAAAGGAAAGTTGATCATCACTGAGAGCTGGGGCTCCAGGTTCAGAGAACAGCCAGCAGCAGATACACCTTGTTCTGGGCACATGCAGAACACAAGAGAGGAACAGCAGCGAACTGGAAGGGAGGGAAGGACAGTAATCACCAATTCAGGAGGCAAAGGGCAGTGGGCTGGGGGGGTGAAATTTGAGGTAAAGGAGCCCAAAGGAAGAAACAACAGAAAAACTCCTAACAGATCCGAGTCCTGCTTCAGGAAACACACAGCTAATGCCAGTCAGCTCTCTTCTCACCAGGTACTTTTCACACACTGGTAAATCTTCTCTCTGCACTTGGTTTTTGGGAACCAAAACATCAAGATCAGGATTTCTTTTTTTCCCCTAAGATGCACTAAATGATTCCGAGTGTTCACAATATTCTAAATGGCCCCTGAACTCTAAGCAATGCTGAAGACTTACCCAAAAGCAGAAATACCCAAATTACAAACTGCTTTTCAAAATCTACTACTTTTCTTAGGCTAGAAAAGAAGAATCTATCCAGAAGTCTGAATTGTCCAGAAGCAGGTTTGGCATTTCTCAGTGAGAGCACCTGGGCATTTTACTAAGAAATTTTTTAAGCAGTTATTTAGCAAATGCCAACATCAGACAGAGGTGTCAGGTTTCTGGATAGATGTATACAATCAGACAGCTCCTCACCCACCCCTAACAGAACAGATTTGTGCGATTTACAGCAAGAACAGGCTCTGCCACTCACTGCTTCAGTGAAAACTCCAGCAGAGCTGTGAGCTGGAGCCCTTTGTGGTGCAAATCACACCGGGATCCTTTCTTTTACCCACTTCAGAGTAACTCAGTTAATGCCTGCTGGGCAAAGCAAAGCAGGGGCTTCCAGGTTCTGATGCAGCCAGCACAGGGTGTCTGTCTGGGGGCTGTGCAGCCACAGAGCTGGCTGGACACTGGCACACACGGGGGCTGAGAACCAGCACGGCCAGAGTGGAACTGGTGAAGGCAGCCTCAGGGCCAGGTCCAGCTGGAAGCACAAGGACATCTAAGATACAAGAACATGACAGAGCAGCCAAGGTCACCCATGTGCTTAGGTAAGCTTAAGGCAACTAAAGAAAGTTCACTGACAATTTAGAGGAGAATGCCAGAGAGAAGAGAGAAGAGGAACCACTGAGCAGAGCCTGGGGATGCTGTTACAGTAGCCAAAGCCCAGCACCAGCTACTAAGCCATCCCTCTTCTTCAGCTCATTTGTTCTAATTCTCCCCATTTTACCAGCACCATCAGCACGAGGTCGATATGTCAGAAAGAAGAGCTGGGGGTAGGTTCCTAAAAACGCAGCTCACACATTTTCAGGCTTGTGTCTCAGGTCAGTTCTTTTGAAAGGAAGTGTGTGGGCCTTTGGACTGGCCTCCTGCTTGGAGCTGGAGCTGGGAATGCTGCCTGCCATCTCCAGGGACAGTCCTGGGTGTGCTCTACCTGCAAGTGATGGCAGCAGCTGCCCAGGCTCCTTTTCATGCCAGCTGAGTGTACAGTAGTTTTTTAATGAACAGCATGCACCGGTGGCATGGCCTTGGCCATGGAGCCATGGTTGAGTTGTTCTCATCTCCTCAGGACCAGGAACCAGAGAGAAAGGGAGTGTTGGCACAAGTCAGCGCAGGCTCCTGTAGACATAGGCTGATGTGAAGACAGCATTGAGGGTCAGGCTCACGGCCAGCAGGCCCCGGAGGGCAGAGGTACCAAAGCGACCTTGGCAGAAGGGGAGAACACAGAGAAAAAAGGGAATAGGAGAAAGAGATGTTAAAGAACTGATAAGTACAAGCGAACATATGTTGTACTGTTTCTCTCTTGCCAGTGTTTCAGCACAAGCAGAAATTGCTGAAGCACTTTTCCTGTCAGGAAAGACTCCACTGCTCTCTTTTGGCTCTATTTTCATCTCATCTCATGCTCTTGACACTTGCATCCCCACCCTC